GAGAGAGGGAGATTTTGGAGGGGAATAGGGGGAGGAGGTTAGGTATTATCTATATGTGTTTGATTAGTTTACTTTCTAGCTTGATGCAGGTTATTAATTAATTATTAGCAGGGTACCTTGTGAGTTGCTTGTATGTATTGATATCAGGTTTTATTTCTAGAAGTGAAAAATGTTGTTGGCATTCGCGATTGGATTCATGAGCAGGTAGCACATATATATGTGTATGTATGAGGTGTGTAGTCCATCGCGCTGATCGCGGATCGCATTTCGTTGAGAAATTCATTAGATATTTATATCTATCTACTTTTTGGACAATATGTATGTTTCTTGCTGTAAATTCATATAGCAAAGCAATCGAATTGTGGCAGATACTTCGCATGCCTTTAACTCAACTTATTCAACGAGATGCTACTATATAAGTTTGACTGTTTCAAATTGAAGAATAAGGCCTGTACATGCTCAGTTATTCCGAGAACATTCATACTTAATTATCGTTTGTACACCTATATTGCATTTTTGCAGTGTCTTGTTCTTTCAAACACACCTCTATATCTCTTAGGGATTGAGTGGCGTTTTCATCTACTCTTCCCCTACACTCCCACTCCGTCACTTTATTTGTCGAGGAGGTAGTTGTGGAGAATCAGAGATAATTTAATTGTCTCTGACATGTTGCCGCAGTACTGAAATGGGCCTTCGTGGATGAATATCGAATAGTTGATGGGGAAAAAAGGAATGAAGATGAATGCAAAGGACATTAGGAAAATCTCGGTAGGAACTTATTTTTTTTGGTAGAGGCATATCGCCTTGTCTCTACATCGCTGAAGTAGAAGAAGTTATTCTACATTTGAAGTTAATGGTTGACATGTGTGCATGTCCTCTGGAGATGTCGTTGTGTCCCTATTCGGTGCATTTGTTGTCATCATCATGGGGAATATATTGATCCAGTCTTGTAGGATTTCCCTCATGTTGAAGAGATTTCACGATTGTCCTAATGTATACACTGTTCGTATTTGATATTTCCGTTTGCGTCGAATGACGTTCATACCTTATACAACCTGTGTTCGTGGCAACCTCGAACATTCCGTAACATCCCATACTGATTGCGATTATGACAACAATAGATTTGAAGCTGCCATCTTGGTTTCTGCATTTTCAAAATCAATCTGCGTTATACCAACTTCTCATCCTTTTCTACCTACACGAAATTGCTTTGGTTTCCAAATGGCGTTCCTCTCGAGGCCAACTCTCAATGCAATGTTATTGCCACTTGTCCCTAGTACTCGACAACCAAAGTATTTACCTCTAGGACCGCCACATAGAGCCTGAAGCAACTAGAAAAAAGCTCCCATTCTATTGCGAGAATAATGTTCTCCTCAAAAGCTTATTGCACGATAAACTTCACAAACCAGTGATACAAACACGAAATCATTGGTTCGGAACTTGGATACAATGCGGAAAATTGTATTGAAGTCTCGGCTCGCCATAAGGTCCTGCATTCAATAACTTCTTAGGCAGGAATTTGATATATTGGAATAAAAGTGTGTGAATGGGTTGGATGTGAGATTAGATATTTACTAATACCTGGACATCATATCTTCTCCATGATATTTGGTTGTACGCTTACGTTTAATCACTTGATTTTGTTTCAAGGCCCCATGAACTTTATGAATAGATGTGAGTGAAGTATGTGAAGCATATGGAATATGTAAAGTATATGAAGTATATGATGTAAAGTGCAAGGTGAAATACCAATACAAGAAATTCGAGGGGTATCCTGAGTATACGTATGCAATCTCCCATTCATCATCCGCGCAAGAGAATCGATGGGCATGTTGATATGCATTTTTTGAGGTACAGTACCAGCAAAGGGAAGGGAGGGGCAGACTGAGGACACAAGGACAGTTACTTCATTCATCGACGACACGGAGAGTATAGGGGCATATGGAACATATGCAGTGTACTCGTTCATGACTCTACCATGGCGTGTTTGTCCA